CTATATAATTTGAAAAACATTTAGATTTTTCTGTGGTAGGACTAATTATAATGCTCCTCCGGAGCCCCCCCACATGCATGAGCTATACATTTAAGTCTTCATGTTCGTCGCCAGCCATACACTTTAAAATAGTAGAGTTCAAGGTCTCTTTCCCAGGCTTGCTTTCCTTAAGGCTGTGTTTGGCTGAAGACCTTTAGTACAAGCAGTCTGCCAGCAGTAACTCTAACTCCTGCCTTCCTGATCTCCTCTCTTTCTGCATCTCCTTCTAATATGTACACTAGAGGAAGATGAGAATGATATCCTCAGGAGCCCTGCCTTCCAGATAAGCAGCACATGTGGGCGTTGTGGTGACCACAAAGTATTGTACAGATGGGAGACAGCCGTTCATGTAGGTGTGGCTAGCCGAATGTCTCTAAGCTGAGCTCTGTCTCCCAGCTCTTATTTACCTATTTGCAGATGTTTGCATGTGCAAAGGAGACTCAGAAATGGTCTTAACAGAGGACTCTCTTCTTTCTTTTCTTTAACTGGTTGAGCACTGCTATAAATAATCCATTAACTGGTCTATATTAGTCTAGGAAAACAAGAATAACTTCTTGTCTGAAAATTTCAGTCCAGGTTTTTCCACAAGTAATTTTCATCCGTTTGGAGAAACGTTTTTGATCTTGTACCTTGTGGAAGATAAAAATGTCAGTTAGTTCCTTTTGCTTTATTTTTTTGTCTTTCTAAATGAAAACCTCATCTGGGAAGAGGAGGAGGTGATGGTCCTGGTATTGCCAAAAGTTCTTTTATGTCATTGGCTGCATTCTGTGTGATTGACAGGTTATTGGCAATGAAAAACCAACAGTTAAGACTAATGATCATATCTGTGACTCACATGTTTTCCATACAGAAAATTACCTTTGGCAGCAATTTTCTTATGCAAAATATAGAAAGTCCTTTTATATTTTAAAAAAACCTAGCAGAGGCTAAATATGCACACTTGAAAATCATTATCTGGTATGTTTATTTTTTTAGAAATATTTTCACCTGTAATTTAACAGATTATTGGGTAAACTGCATTTAAAAAAAATTCCCCAAATATAATAATATCTGTATGTTGCATGCATTTTGAATTTTTTACTAAGTTGTGTCCAAGAATAGGCAAATTGCAGAACCAGTCTCTCCAAGTTCTAATGCTTATGGGGAAAAGAATATGTGAACACAAATGGAAAGTACTGAAGGCTATGCAACAATACTGGGTTTCTGAAGCACTCCCCCTGACCCTTCTTAATACTTTCTTTCCATCTTCTCCATGAGTATAGTACTGGCAGCATTCATAGAAAGACTTGATTCATTTGGGATCTGAGTGAATATCAGAAGTTTTTCTTCTTCGTGATTTTTGTTTTCTGTATTTTAGTACGTAAGTAATGATTAAAGTTGATTCATCTTCAGTATGAGATGTATAAACTGAAAAAAGAAATTTGAATAATCCAGTCTGAGGATGCAGTAGGCTGTATAAAGTTTTAATGATTTCCTTGATTTTTGTCAGGTTGGCCCAGTATTTTGACTTTACATAGAATTCCTTGTTTAATTTTGTGTATATTCAGCAGATTTCTTATTGTTGTCTCTTTAAAACAAATAAATAAATCTGAAAACAGAGTAGAACATCTCACGGGAAAGTTAATGGGAAGCACATTCTCGTATCTGCAGGGAATCTTTTGGATACCCGTTTTTTCCTGTGTACAAATTCGAGTCTAAGAATCCTGTGAAACTCTTTTTTCAAGCATAATGGCACCTTTTTGTATTGGTCCCAATTGTTATTTTCTTTTTCTTCCAGATAAGTAACACTCAAGTTTCACAGCATTAGCTCTGAAAAATTTCTGCCTCATGATGCCTCACTGTCAGAATTTGTTAGCAATTCTAATTATTCTAAAATTTGTTAGCAAATTCTGTAGCCATTCTTGTTCCATGTAGAACATGGACTAGACCTGTAGTTTCTTGGTTAACATTTATGATGTTTCGAATGGAAAGGTTACCTCATCCTCCTCATGTAGACTGCTTTTGAAAGCATCATTCTTGAGGAGTTAAGCATTAAACATAAGAAATTCCTTCTCCTTTAAGACTGAAAAAGAAAAGAGTGAGTTTTACTGGAGTCTTTGTGTTAGTAGATAGAGAACATAGAAATAATCTTTTATCCAACACTAAAGAAACTTCATTCAGTTATTTTCAAACTAGATGTAGAGTTCCTACTCAGGCAGGTAAATCACAGAGAAAGGTTAATTAGTGGTTGTAGATTTGTTGTGTAGATGTGTTCAACATTTCCAACTGTTTATTTTAGCTGTTCTCTGCCACTATGCTTTGTGTGTGACTGTTTTCTCTCCATACTGCCTTATAGATTCTTTGAGTCCTTACAACTTGATAACAGTTTATTTCCAAATGTAAAACATTTGACAGACAAGTTGGTGGTAGTCGTGGCTTGTTACAGAGGTTTTCCTTGTGTGTGTGGTGTATGTTTTTGCCTTTGTGCTGTATAGCCAGGAAAGTACTTGTCAGTAAAATGGTGTGTTTAGTTAGCAGCTCCTCCCCAAACAACTGTGAAGGTGGATTTTTCCTGTCAATAATCCACTCTATTAACTGGGAAAAGTTAATTCCTAGAGAGGAGCCAGTGTTTTCATGGGTGTTTGTTTAGGGATAAATTTGGAAAAAATCATTTATGCATTGAAGTAAGCAAGCTTGAACATGCATTGATGCATTGAAGAGGGGATAAATCTGGGCTGGTGGGCTGTATAAAAGTATTTCCTCATTCTAAATTTGCTGAAATTAGTTATATGCCATCCAGCTCACTCTCTAGATTGTCTTCCTTAAACATGAATATTCCTTAGAAAAAAAAAATATGGGGCAACCCCCCCCCAACTTCTTCCTTATTTTATGCCAATTTTTAGTGCTAAGATTTTTTTTCAAATATAAACTTAATATGAGCAAAATCCTAAGCACTTTATAAATGTAATTTTATTGCATTTATCTCTACAGCTGAAATTAATTATTCAGTGTGTTCATTAAAAATAAGCTTTGGTAAGTGACATTTTAAACAAGCATTCAGAAGTGATTGCAAGGAAGATGGTAATACAGAACAGTGTTGAAAAGGAAGTGTAAAATTCTTGAACATTTTAAGCTGGCCTGTAAAAACTTCAAATGTAGGTATTTGGACAATTTCAGAAATGTAGGGAGAACACGTATTGCTTCTAGACTGGGGGGACTGCCAGCATTGCCACGTATCAGTATTTTCTCAAGTATTTCGTGTGGTGATTTTTAAAACGTTCAATGTTGGCATTGAGAAAATAGACAGAAGTTGCCTTTTTTTTTTTTTGTAAAAAATGTGCAGGGTTTTTCCCCTTGATAATGGAGAAAATTTTGGAAAGGTGACTATGAAAGCATCATAAATCCCTATACTCCTAGATAGCAACTAAAAAAAAACCCAAAACCCAGAAACCCTCCATTTATTGCTTAATACAATTTGAACCTTGCATACACGTGAAAAGCTGTAGTAGAGTCTGTACTTGTCTACGATTAGACAAACATCTTCCAGACCTTCTCAAGGTGTGCAATCCAACAGATCATTGGCAGTCCCTGAGGAATCCCATTTGTTGCTAGCAACAGATACAATTACTGTAAGAGGGAGGCAGGGCATTAGACCGTGGGGCTTTTTGTGTCCAAAACCCAGTGGTCAACCATTTTATCTGTGCCAAAGCTGAGATCCATTTATTGTTAGCTCTTATGACAGTTTCTTATCTTTTTGTTAGGTCTTAACGATGGATATTGTGGCGCTTAAAGTCTTATGTAGACACATGAATATTCAAGCAAGCAGGTGCTCTATTACAGCTGAAATAAACAGAGTTGCTGTCATCAGATTTGTTTAATTTGTGTTTCAACAATTAGCCAAGGAATACAGTTAAGAGAAATAAATGACCATCAGTCATGTTTGAGATGTTGGACCAGTAAAAACAATAGTGGACTATTTACTGTGGTAGGCAAAGAGAAAGAAGAAAGCCTTCTCTGTCACTAAAACACAAATTTTAAGTACTCTCCTTAAGTTTACCATGAGCACAGTGGAAACAGTCTTAAATATCAAAACTGTGCCTTAGAATATTGAGTAATGGTGTGGGAATAATGTTCATAATTTCTGAAACCAAATTAAATGATGAGCTGCATGGTAGAGACAATTATTTACTTTGTATTTACTTTTGTATTATAGTGTAGAGTTAGTGCTTTTTTCTATGCAACATTTCTCTAGTTATTTCCTTCTACATTGTCATTATGAGTGATAGAGAAGACTTTCTGGTTTCTCACGCTCTAAATGCTTTTCTGTTTTTTTTTTTTTTTTTTTTTTTTTTTGGTATGTGAAATGCACAATAGAAATAGTTTAGTCTTGTCATTATTTAAAGTTACACTCTGTCCCTATTCTGCTCTGATGTCCCTAGTACCACTCATCTCCCTGCCCTCCACAAGCCCCCAGCCCTGGAAGAAAATACATGCTTTTTAACTAAGCTCATCAACCAGTTTTGCAATAAATACTTTCACATTTTTTTCCCCTAGGAATTATCCTGCTAAAAATGTTGCATTACCCTGTAAGTTGACTGTAGTATTTCTGAAAATGCTCACTCTCAGACTTTTCAAAACAAGAATTTGGTGGCTTCTTGGAGCTGTGAGTTAGACTTCCTCCTTTGTATCTTGAGTTGATGAATTCTTTATCGCTTTGCCAGGGATTGTGGACTTTTATATAATTCCAATGAAGCCATCCCTCCTCTGAAAAAAATTGAGTACTTGAAATGGTACAGATGTCAAATTTGATGGACTACCAGCTTTAGCATTTGATACATAACTGCGGTGCTGGGAGAAAGAGCAAGGCTAGAGGCAGTCTCTGTTTTTAAGTAGACTATTTAAACCGTAAGACTATGTTAATGTATTATTTAAAAGGTTTGCTCCTTTACATTCCATTTTCCTCTCTGATTTTTGTCTTGTAGTGTTGTCCCTCAGACCACAGTAATACTGAACAACGACCGGCAGAATTCAATTGTAGCCAAGATGGTTGGGCAGGAAGAGCCATTGAGCAGAGCAGCGGATTCTCTGGAAAATATTCTTAGCAAGTTAGTAGCAGTTATGGGAATCCTCCTCCTTCGTTCCCTCCTTACAGATCAATATCAGTCTCTGCAGCAATTTGGAGTGCAAAATGAGGAATGTTCTAGGTTCTAGGGGGGGGCAAAACATTGAACCAGTACATGAATATTTTATCAGGCTGACAGTTCTGCCTAGGGAAACCTCGTATCAGCAGTAAAGGTGCAGAGCAATGCTTCACTCTTGATGGGAGAGAACATCTTGGAGAATCTGGGATTAGTTCAATGTTAGTTGACAGCTGGCAGTTGAAAGAAAGAGTGCCCATAGCTATGTATTTTTTACATGGATGCACGATCACTTGGGAGCATGCCAAGATCCTGTATTTACCCAGCTGAAGGAGGAATATGCAGCAGCCCAGGAAGGCTTGTTAGAATTTGTACTATCTAAAGCAAATTTTAAATTAAATGGAACTGGTGATTCTGAGTAGATGATGTTCTTAAATAATATGTTTTTATACATTATTTAAATATTTTTTTGTTTTGCACATTGGGCCTAGACTTTTTCATTGATGCAACTTTAGAAAGTGTGCATCTAAAATTTTTTTCATTTCTTCTGCTATTTTCCTTCCATTTTATTTTGCTGGATAGCTCTGGGTCATAAACGGGAATAGGCTTGTTTAAAGGAGTATGCTTTTATAATATATTTAATTTTGTCAATTAGTGTTTTTAATTCCCTTATAATGATGGTATTCCTGATCAAGGATTGTGTTTTCCCAAAGTTACGTACTTTTCTTTTCCATAGTGCTGTTCCTGGACGTAGGCAGAACACCATAGTGGTGAAAGTTCCAGGGCATGACGACAGTCACAATGAAGATGGAGAGAGTGGCTCTGAAGCCAGTGACTCAGTTTCCAACAGTGGACAATTAGGAAGCCAAAGTATTGGGAACAATGTCACGCTTATTACGCTGAACTCTGAAGGTATGCTGATCTAACTATAAGGCTACATGAGCAAAGTAAATGTGGTGGTGGAATGAACTAAGACTCAACTGGAAGCTTCAGAGATCATACCATGGGTCCAACCTTGAATTGTTAGGCAGTACAGCAAGCATCAGATAAGACTGAATGACTCTGAATCGGTTGATTGGTTGGTTGTTTTGTTGTTGTTGTTGTTGTTTCATTTTTACTAGTTTTGCAGGCAGAACAGCTAATTAAAAAACTTGTAAAATTTAAAAAGTATGCCCCACTATAGCAGTGTAGCTTTATATTTTAAACCCTTTAAATTAACACATGGAACCTGCAGGATTTCCTATCACCAAGTTGAAATACTGTTTCAAGAAAATAAATGCTTTCTCTGGGAAATAAAATCTACTAGTCCATCTTCTCCTGTAACTTATTATGACAGTCCACTTGTGTAATTCTTAAGAATGTAAAATAGTTATTTTAGCAACTGTAAACAATTTTTATAAGGAAATTCATATTAAAAACAGTGTTAACCGGATAGTGTGTAGCATCAGATTTTTCTGAAAATTCCTTTGGTCTTGGACATAGAAATCAAATGTAGTGAAATCTAAGAATTTTAGATTAGCCTTATAAGGATACTCTATTTTATGTGGTTGGATATATTAAAATGAATGTTAGTTGCAGTATTAGTCACAAACAAGATGATATAAGGCACATGGAGTTTTAGGTAAAAACAACAGATGATAAATTATGGTTTACGATTAGTTTGAAAGTATCAGTGATTTTTTTTAATACAGATGTAATATGAATCCTAGACTCAATTTAATAATTTTCCTAATTACTTTTTAAAACTTATGTATTGAATATTTACTTAAGTGTTATTCTGGATGTGGTAGTTCATATTTACATTCATGTACCAGAGAAGAATAAGTTACTTCAGGAAATTATTGCATCACAGTGCACTTAGGAGGTAACCTTTGTACTGAAGAGGTAAATGTGTTGTCTTTTTGATCTCTAACATTGAAACAGAAGGACTCTCATTTAGGAGTAATTCAGTTACTTCTGCATGATATCCAGCCATTGGGAAAAGCATGATGGGTGTGAACGGGTTAGGATCCAATAAATGGTAAGGATTAATTCAAGATAGCCTGAACCTGAGTATTTAAGAGCGCATTCAAAGATTTCAGAACTGACTAACAATTCAATGAGATGCTTTAAAATTTTGATATTTAGAAAACTTCAGAAGTCAGTCTACTGAAAGTCTCATGCACTAAAGATTGTTTCTGAAAATGTTGTTCTAAGGCATCTGAACTTAGGACTCTTCGACTTATGGATATTCATACAACACATGCATACTATAAAGAGCTTTTAGGTTCTGTCCTGTTTGTAGGCTGTGAGACAGATTTGCTTCTAAAGGATATTTAATTTTGGGTCAGTGGGAAATTAAAGGACACTGAGACTGTCTGAGGAGTTCCTCTCAAAAAAATGATTGCACTGCAGATAGTGCTGATATTTTGATGTGAAAATACATATAAAACATACTCTTTGTGGAGTTTTAATATTTCATACAGCTCTGAGACAGCTATGCCAGGAACAAAGTTTCTAATATTAGGAGTGTATTTGTTGTGTAATGCCCTTTTTGACTTGGTTGTTTGGCACAGATTTGCACAGACAACTGTGGTGTTGGCCTTTTATGCCATTGTCGTATATGCAAATTTTGAAGAAACAGCTAATCCATTAATGTCTTCAGATCTGATTTTCTTCAGACCTTTAGAACAGTCATCCATTAAAAATCCCTCTGAGATTGATGAATGCTTTGAGAATCAGATTAGTAATCCCCCACACCTACCTCTTCTTGCCCTCACAAAGACGAGAGGACCGCTTGCACAGAAGGAATGCTAAGCAAGGTAGCCTGCAGGATGTCACAGAAATTAAATTATTAATAAAGGAAGTGATGAAGAATAATAGGTCTGTTGTGCAGACTTGTTTTCTTCAGCAGTAAAAGGCAAAAGTTACAGCACCCATCAGCTTGCTTTCATCATCTGTGAAAGAACTCTGAGTGACTTTGAGTTGCTCAGAGGAATCTCAGTTGATTGTAAAATACGGGGGGCTGAGAATGGTGTTCTTCACCCCCTATGGACTGAGACTAAATAACACGTTTTCAGTATGACTCCTATCTGTTGTCTTGTGTCCAGAAAGCAAAACTAAACCATGTTTATAGTTGGGCTTTAGCTGTCTTTGGATATGGCATTGACCTGTGGATATTTTCAGAAATTAGCTAATAGGTTTATATAAAGGCATTGTTTGCTCTCTGCTGGCTGTTTTCAAAGAGCGTTTAATCACGTATGATAGTTTAAAAAATACTGGTGTTACTGCTTTTCTGTTCCTGAAAAATAATTATACAGAAGCATGGAGGCCAGTTCCCGGTTCCAATAATGATCTAGATTAAGGGTTTTTTGTGCCGACTGAACACTGTGACTTTATTTGATCTTCAGTTGTATACTACTCTTCTTCTGCATGTGCAGTAAGGTATGTTTTATCTATTTTCTTTGAGCAAGAGTTACTTTATTCTTTCTTTTGCTTTTCAGAAAACTGAAAATGCTCATCCATTTTACAGATGCAGTTAATGGTCTGCAAAGTGTTGATTGTAAGACGTAGTATTTATGAACTGAAAGCACCTAGAGATACTGAAGCTCTAATTTTTGTGAAATTTTTTGAATTTTTTCCAAACTTCACTTTGGAATAATTAATGTCCTTTCATGTAGGCATGACAGTAGAAATGTCAGCACCTGATGTATTGATTGGACTGCAGTTCTGAAAGTGGTGTTCATGAAGTAATCTTGCACAATTGAAGATAAAACCCAGCAAGAATAGAATTGTTCAGTATTGAATTACCAGTGTAAAATCAAATTAAAATAGGCTAGAACGCTTACTAGTGACTGACGTACTATTTTTATTAATGTCATATTTTTGGCACAGAAAGTATCAAGCGTATCCTTATTCAGCCAACTAAGAAATAGCATTTTTTCATTTAACTTGTAATTTTACCCCATAGATATTAATTACTGTCAAAAGTGATTAGCCTGTTGTTGTTTTGAATGCATATGTTAGAGTGTGTCTTTTCTGCTCTAACTATGTTGCAGCCGAAGTGGATCTTCTGGGGAAATTAGAGAAGAGCAGTTGGTACGGATGTATAAACAGTAGTGTAAGTTTATAACCACGTGCTTTAGAAGTAAAATTACTTTTCTAGAAATGGGAGGGTAATTTAATATTAAGATCAAAGCTCAAAACTCTGTTTTGCCAAACTTCTCTTTTAAGAAGATGGTCTTCCTCCAGAGACACTGTTTGAAAGAATTGAATGCCACTGATCCTCTCAGAGTTTAAATGGGGAAGGGACATCAACTTAAAACTGATTAACTTTGAATCTTTGATTTCTGGAGATCTGGACTGCAGCCTTCATTTAAATCCTAAGTAAAAAATACAAACTTTTTTTTCCTGTACTGAAACAAGGTACTGAATGAAGAAGCCCAGGTGTGAGCCACTACTGAACTCACGTTTGAGTAGAAGTGAAAAAGCAGAAAGGTCTTAAAACAGCAAACATAAAACCTCCCAAATAAAACTGTGTCTAAGATACTCTAGTCTGGTAATTTAAACTGCTCAAGCAATTTAAATGTTAATTGTAAGCATTGTCTGTAAGGTCTAATTGACTTAATCATCGCCCATCTCTTTTTTTTCCTCTTTATTTTTCTGATTTAGGAAAAAACCCTTCCTTGTATTTTTAACACAATACATTAATGGTGTTCAAAAAGGTCCTCCCTTTAACTGAGAGTCATTGTTTCAAACCAGAGATCTTTTTGTTGTATAATTATCTTAGTTACAGTCTTAGCTAAGAAGTTCTGATTTGGAAGAGCTTTTGGAGAGCTCCTCTGACAGTTATGAAACTGTCTTTACCCACAGTGCACTTAACTAAATAAATGTCAAGTCTGGTTAACCTTTCTTTTCTCTTTCTCTGTCTTTTGAAACATCAAAGCTATATAGGTAACTTGTGTATTGTGGTAGAAATGCAGCTAAACAGTTTACATCAGGAGGTATACCTTTGTGTTTTCATATGTTTTCTTTCTGAAGTGTGGCTTTTAGAAATTTGAAGTACCCAGCTGTTCCCATGTTTTTAGAAGTCTTTTGTGTAGTAGTTATTCTCTGAATACATGAACAGGTCTGTTTTAGCAGAAATGTTTTCTGGAGGAAAGAAACCACCAAACATGACCTATGGCATGACCTGTCAAACTTATAAACAAACCATTTTACTGTGCCAGTATCTTAAGAATTTGGATAGAGGCTGGTTTTCTGAAAGGTTTTGGTAGATGAAAACAATGTAAATATTATGAAAATTAATGTTCTCCTGAGACACAGTATGCTTTTTCTTTAATCTGGAGGAAACCTGTGTTTAAAAATATAGGGAACTTTCTTGTTCGTTGTCTCTTTTTTTTTTCTCTTTTACCCAGCATAGATTACATATATTTCTCGTTTAATGGAATAAGAAACAAACACTTATCACTGAGAAGTGTTTAAAGTAAATGCCAAAAATTGATAGATGTGTTTTTCTCTTTTGAAAGCCCAGTTAATTTTGACATGAATGTGTTCTTACTGTAAGTTTTGGAGTACAGCATGTTCTCAGTTTAAACAAAGTTGTGCTTTTTTTTTTATCTTGAACTTTCTAATTAGGCTTAAAAAGGATGAGCAATTGATTAATGAAAACATTTTTAAAACATCATCATTTGGGTCTGTTGTCTATGTACGTGTTATTTTTGTAATGAACTGTCGTAGATCTTCAGGAACTGTTAGAAAAGACCTTGTTTGTCCATTTGTGTTTGTGAGGATTTAGTTGCTATGTGTGTTAAATGGCTTATAATGCAGTGACTTTTATCCATCCGTTCAGCTGTGATTGGAATGGAGTTGATATTTCTCTCAGGTGTATTGAAGCTGTGCAGAATTGTGTGACTTAAATGTCATGGGCACCC